TGTTCAGAATTATTGATATATGTAATTTAAATTCTTTTGTATGTATATGTAATTTAAATTGTAAACAAAATTTTAAGCAAATAGTGAATTTTGCTGTATAATATCATTAGTAATTTGCTTTTAAAATTGAATAAATCAAAAAAATTTTAGATTTTTTAAGAAAAACTTTTTACTATATTTAAACATTTGTATTGTATTTGAATAAAAAAAATTCTGTTAACATATATCTTAACATTTGAAAAATAATTTTTAATAAAATATCTTTTGTTAAAAATTATTTTTTTTTCAGCTTTCTAATTATTTTATTTAATAAAAATAATTGCCAATCTTTTTTTTCGCGCAGGTCACTTACAGGAATTCCAAAATTTCGTTACGTCAAAGATAGATTTCAACAAACAACTATTAAAAATATATCTAAACAGATGTTTAAAAACACGTAGCTGCCTTTGATTTTATTTCATTCCAAAAATACGATTTCAAATAAATTCAATGGGAATAAATGTTTAAAATATATTACCAACTACGCGGCAAAACAAGTCAAACGCTTGCAAATTTGCAAATATAAACGTAAATTAACTTAAATACTAATATACAACAAGAAAAACACAATGTATACAAAAGTATGCAGTTTTGTTTATAAATACTGGGTTTTCCAATAAGAGTGGCATGATTTCTTAAAAAAATAAACAGTACACTGAAAGGAGTCTGGTTTGTTGCTAAATACCAATGACTTCCAAAAATCCTACAAAAAATAGTCCAATACTATTAAATCACAACTTCTTGGCGGCCACAATTTCTTGAAATAATCGAAACTCCAAACTTTTCTCGCAATAACTCGGTTGTTGTAGGTGCTGTGTGGAACGTAGCGCCGTCTTGTTGAAAACAGATGTTGTCAAGATCAACCTCTTCCAATTGCGGCCAAAAAAAATTGGTTATCATCGATATGCCAATTTCGGTGAATGTAATGGTTGTTCATGAATAATTTGCTTATTTTCTTCGCTCAGAATCGATAGTTTTGCTGATTTACCGCACCACTCAGATAAAAGTGAGACTCATCGTAATCGTTTTCAAATTATTCCAAAGCAAAATCAGCAAATTCATGAATGGTGCTTCTTTCCTTGATGATATTGTAAACATTACTGAATACAATGAGAAAAAAAATCTACCTTGTTTTTGGGGATGAAAGGATGGAAAAAGGCTTCCGCATCAGCAGTGCTGTCGTCACAGCAACGGTATGTGCCACTTGCAGATCACTAAAAACCAGGGGGGTTTTAAGGAACCGTCGCCCACCCTGGAACCACATTTGCATTACTTTTTGGTGGCGTTCCATTTTTCTCTTTTAGAGATTTACATTTGCGCAGCGTAGCAAGATTGCTGCGAATTCCTCGATAATCCCCCAGTTTATTTTACACACGACTATCGACTCCTATTCTATGGAGGTACTTTTGGAAGTATCCATAATCGGATAACAGCTGGGTTGTGTAATAATTGAGTTCTCCAAATTTACGGCTTGTCCATAAATCTAGATATTTTATTAGTCTGGCCGTACATCTGCCACGATTCTCAATTTCCATGCCATGCATTCCATTTGCCATGTTCTTATTGTATATTTCTTTATTTGTTCTATTGTGCTCTTGGTGTGCTGGACTTGTCTGGGGTCCAATTTTACGCCTAGGTAGGTTACTGGGTTTTGTGTTCTAAGAATATCCGTAGTCATTTGCATACTTATTTCTAGCGGTATGCGCTTTCTTTTGTAAACTTCAACGCCGCATTTTATAGCTCCAACAGTGATCTGTCTTGTCTAAGCCCGTTGCTTCTTCCAAAGTTCAGGGAATATTCCGGCTTCGAAGCAGATGTTGTACATATTCAATAGCACTGCCGGTCACTCTGCAGTGATTTTAATTATGATTTCTGCTAGGATCCCATTTGGACCGGATGATTTGTTGACTTTGAGCATGCCAATGGCTAGTTGCAGCTCCGCGAGGGTAAACTGGGGGATTTGCGGAAATCTTAGGGTATGTTCTGGATCACTAGCCATTTTTTCGTGTGTGGGGTAGAGTGTATCCACGATCTGATCCATTTTGTAGCGGTTAAGTCGGGTGGCTTTTCTCGAGCGCCGAATTTTTTCGTTACTAATTTATATCCAAGTCCCCAGGCGTTTTCGTTAATATCCTTAAGTAGTTACTCCCATTTTTTCATTTTGCTTTCATCGATGGCGTGCCTAAGCTCTTTTTTTTCTGCTTTATATTAAATATGGTCGAAACGACACTTAGAAATCACATCATCCCTATTGGAAAACCCGATATTATACCCAACGAACATAGACACCCACCCAAAGGCCTATGAACTACGAGCATGCATAATGAACTGCTATATTATAAACTACACATACACATATTTATAAATATTAAATGGTTGGAGTCTGGTGCTTAATGCTTATTTACATAATTATACAAATATGTATATATTTGCAGCGTAACGGTTATAACACATTCCAGCAACTATAGACATACAATATAATATAGACAACAAAATCAATACACATACACGCGATTTCGCGCAGCAAGCACATAAACACACACATACATACACAACTAGCAAATATACGCCAATTTATCGAGCAGACAAACTTTCATGCCATGAAAATGCCGCAAACCGAAGATGAGGTTAATGAAAAGATTTACGATCATCGCATCATGCCGGATTGGTCGAATGTAGTCAACGAAACAAATGGCACAATGCACTACTCGAAGGATATGATCTTCAATGATGGACATCGACTCTCCATAACAGTTTACAGGTGAGCGCTGAACAATCAATAATATTTCTGTAATTGTTGTTGTTATAACTGTTTATATATTTATTATATTTGTGCAGCATCCTGCTTGTGCTCTCGTCGATTGGCAATTCAACAGTGCTGTATTTGATCGTGAAGCGACGCTGGCACAATCGTACGCGCAGTCCGTCCCGCATTGATATTATGTTGATGCATTTGGTAATTAAAAAAAAAACATTTGTTAACATATCTATATAAAGAGGTATATAATACAACTTTTTAGCAAACATTTTAGCATATGATCAAATTTGACTCGGACTTTCGCAATTTCTATTGATATTCATATATTATATTATATAATTTGAATGCATTGATTGAAAATGTTTCAGCAGTGTTCTAGGCAGTCTAATTTATCACGAAAGCAAGGATTTGAGTGCCATAAAGTACTCAGTGAAGCTCGTGACGTTATCGAAAACTTACCTGATGCGAGTCGAACTTTGTTAATGATGAAAAATTTAAAGAAACAGTGATTATAAATCGTTGTGTTGGTATCAAAAAGATAGCAGAGTGTCACAACCTCTTTTATGGACCGACTCAACACATTTTGGTCAATCTTTTGGGTATGAAGCGTGACATACCTAGACTTCACTAGATGCTTAATAACGTAGCTGAGAGTCCAATATTAATCAAGCGCTTTATTACTGTCAATGAGACCTGGATTTGCGCATATGATTTCGAAATTGTCGAACAATCTAGAAATGGACGCCCTAAAAATGAGCTGAAACCAAAAAAGTCATGTCGAGGTTGGTGAAAAATGAAGGTGGTGATTTTGACTACCATGAAGTGATCCGTTCCATACGGTTAAATGGTCAAAAAGGGATACCACATGAAGTGATTCACCATGAATTCGTTCCATACGGTCAAAGGATCAATAAGGGATACTACTGAGTTTACTTGGAGCAATTCGTCATAAGTGAACGGATTTGTGGGCAGAGAACTTTCATAACGATAATTCGGCGTCACATTCTAATATGATCCTGACTGACTTTTTTTATCAAAACACGTAACCAGAGTCGTCACTGAGCTACCCTATTAGACAGATCTGGCTTCCTTTGATTTTTTTCTGCTTTCGAAACTGCAAAAACTGCTTTGGGAAGGCACTGAAGGCAGTCAATCGCAAGGCAAACTAATCGTTGGTAACCAAGCATAGAATCAAAAAGATAAAGATTTTTTTCAGTCCGGATCAAACTTGATCAGCTGATCTAAATATTTTATATACAACAACATATGTCTGAATACATTTTAAAATATTTCTAAATATATACATGTATTTTTATATCCGGCATTTTTCGCCAACTTGCTCGTTATCTCATCAGCTCACTAACTATACTTTGTACTTTCTTATCATGATTCGCCTGCTCCACTGTTCTCACTAACTGACTGACTGACTGCTTGATCTACCGTCTACTTCGATCACTCCGCTTGCAACGCACCGCATCACATTGCATCGCTCCGTATCGCCATTTGCCGTTGGATGTCAAAGGCCATTGCTGATTTGATGGTGACTTTCCTGTTAATGCCGCTGGAGATAGCGTGGGCGTATACGGTGCAATGGCGTTCCACCGATTTTGTCTGTCGCACAATGAGCTTTTTCCGCGTGTTCGGCCTGTATTTGTCGAGTTTTGTGCTAGTCAGCATATCGATAGATCGGTGAGTTTATACAACGCAATTCACTGTGATTTTCCATTAAAATCAATTTATAGGCATTACCTCATTGGTTTTTTTTATTTCGTTCACAGATATTATGCCATTTTAAAACCGTTGAAATTCTCAACAAATCGCGGTCGCATTATGCTGGCAATTGCATGGATCGCGTCGGTGATCTGCAGTACACCGCAGGTGAGGTAGTATTACAATAAAATTAATATATGGAAAAATATATAGAGTACTTTAACAATTATGACTGAAAATCAAAATTCTATGGATAATTTATAACCAAAGAACATTGTTATAGCTCTTTCATCATTCATAGAAAAATATTTTTTAAACCTTACCTATTTAATTAAACGTTTTTAGTTTCAAACAATAGTTCTATTGAGAGAGTATATAATTTTCGCTACTCTTTCGGTATTCTAATATGTTTATAATGGTTGACAGCCTCGACGAAAAAAAAATTATATTATCACACTTTAATTAATTATTTAATTCTATATCAAAAGTTTGCGCAAAAATTAAATTTCAGAAATCCACACGTTGATGAAATAGAGAGGAGCAAAAAAAAAAAAACACTTCTGGAAAACAGAAAAAAAAGAAAAATGTCTCAATAGAAACAAAATATTGCTAAAGCATAACATATACGTAGATGTTTTCTGTCAATTTTTAACACTTCCAAATCAAACATTTTGACTCTTTGTTACTTCCCGACTTAAAAAAATATGGAGGATGATCCATTTCGAGGATCTCTACTTTTCTTTCAAAGAAAAAACACAGAAAATTCAAATTTAATGGGGAATTATTATTATATTTCCAAAGAACATTATTTGAAATTTTTTTAAGATTATATCATTCTAATGTTGACCGCGTTTACGTCTCAGATGGTCCATCCGTTAAGTGAAATTTTCGATGATTCGTTCGAGTATTTCGACTCGTAACTGGCGAATGACAGGTGTGATGTTTTGCTCCAAGGTCTGAATCCAAGCGGAATTCTCCGCATAGACTTTAAACTTTACATATCCCACAGGAAAAAGTCTAACGGTGTGATATCAAACGATCTTGGTGGCCAACAGACCGGCCCAAATCGTGAAGTTGCCTGCTGACCAAGATTCAACCCTCTAAATCCTATGAGCAAAGTACACAGATAAGAAAGTTTGTAAGAATCTAAAGTTGCAAAATCTCAACCAGAGGATCGGAATCCAAATAGTTATAGTATATATATATACATATATATATAGGGATTTTCAATGACCGTTTTTTAATAAAACAAAAACGGTTTGGGATGTCGATGAAATTTTTTATTCCTGTGAAAGTACATTACATGGTACTTGCATACCATCAAGAAACATATGGATTAAAGTCACCTGGATATTATATGTTTGTTATATGAGAGCTAGACCCAGTTTTCACTTAATTTTATCCAATTTATTCACAAAGATACACTGTTATCAGTGAAATACGATCTTTCATTTTCATTGAGATAACTCACACGTTGGCCGTTATATGTGGCATAAAGTCACCTGGATGTTCGAAAATAGTTGCATTAGGTATATGTTAGCTAAGGGACACAACCCATTTTTGACAAATAGACATGCCATGACCAGGAAAGGATTATTCCTAAATTTAAATTCTATATCTCACACATTGGCCGATATTTTCGGCATAATCACAACTACATATAATCACTGGGGTGGAAATAGTCGATACATAAGGGCTTTAACGTCTTTGTTGGATTTGACAGTTTTTGGCCATAAGGTGGCAAACTCTAAAGGAATTAAAGTGAAAGATAAAAATTTTGTAATATGGAAAGTAGGCGTCATTGTATTCCGACCTAAGCAATTTTCCTACTGTAACATAGGAATTTCTCGTACTACATTTGGTTGAAATCATTCAAGCGTTTCACGAGATATGTGATTTAAGTGAGCGGTATTTTATGTACTTTGACAAAGGCTGTGAAAAAAGTTGTCCGAATAATGCTTTCAAAGCTTTGATATCTGATCGAAGTCTAAACTGACCAGTTTGCAACGGTACTGAAAAATCTGTAACTTTAAAGACAATTCTTTTTTTGGGGACAGTCGTTCTTTCTTTTCGCTGTTTGGCGCCAATTGGAGATTCCACGTGTAGTGAGGTCCTTCTCCACCTGGTCTTTCTAACGAATTAAAGGTCTTCCTCTGCTTCCCCCGGCGAATGCTGCGTTGAATACTCTCAGAGCTGGAGTGTTTTCATTCATCGTTCTTTTGACTGCGGTATTCGTCGTTGCCAATTCGCAACATACATCTTCCGCAGAACCTTTCTTTGGAAAACTCGTAACGTCGAGTCATCAGTTGTTGTCATTGTTCATCTCACCATAGCAGGACGGAGATGATGAGTGCCTCGTCGAGAGTTTATTAGAAATGCTAAGTAATTGTAGTCTCACAGCCATTGTGCCAAAGACTTAAAGCCTTAACTCCCAAAAAACGGAACCTTATAAACATGATACAGAAAATAAAACTACGGGCTATGAGACTCCGAGGTGACCGCTCAGGATCATAATGTTATAATTTGAATCTATTGTCATTGAAAACAATCGTAACCCACTTGTATATCAGGTGTTTCCGTGGTTGTTTGAAAAATTTAGAAATTGCTTAAAATTTTGACTTTATTGATTTACCTCGTCTTTATTAGTTTTAGTAAGACAATCTTAAAAAAAAACTTAGGATACGGAAAGTTTTAACATATTTTGGATGATCTCTCTTAATATCATTATTGTGTTATTTTTTRTTATCCAACAATTGGGAAATCTGGCAATGTTTGAACTAAGAAATCTTAATAATTATTGTATTTATTTGCAAAGCATATGCTGTCTGAGCTTAATAATTGTTCAAAAGTTTTTACATCAACATGATGAGACCATATTTTAATCTCATCTTGTTAATATAGACTAAAATGCAGCCTCACCCTATTGATACTACCCAATCATTATAAACCACGCCAAAGTTTTGGACTATCCTACAATATTAATTTAAACAAAACTTTTACTTTTCCTCAAAAGGCATTCATATTCCATTTGGAGCAGCATCCCAAAGTGAAGGGATACTACCAATGCGTTGCATTCCATTCCTTTCCCACCGAACTGCATAAACTAATCTATCAGATCTCGAATATGTGCGCCATGTATGCCTTTCCATTGGTCACATTCATCTATTGCTATGGCCGCATCTATTTGGAGATCTATCGCAAGAGTAAGCGCATGGTTAAGGGTGATGACAAAAATGGTTAAGCATCTAGCATACCAATAACTAACGCTTGAATACAGATGATAATTGCGTAATTTMTTGCTTGCAGGTTTCGCCCGCTTCCGACGCTCCAACGATGATGTGCTCGGACGCGCTAAAAAGCGTACACTTAAAATGACTATAACCATAGTGATCGTATTTGTGATCTGCTGGACGCCATACTATATAATGTGTTTGTGGTTTTGGCTTGATAAGCCTTCTGCAGATAATGTGAATCCGCTATTGCGTAAAATACTCTTCATATTCGCATGCACGAACTCGTGTATGAATCCGTTGGTGTATGGCGTGTTCAATATACGAGGCAAGGCGAATAATAATAATACGGTGGGTGTGGTTTTCAAACAAAAATATATATATTTTTTAATATAGAAATTAATTATTTTTATTTTCTCTTATCATCACTGCAGTCTGTTCATAATCGGCACACATCACTCTCGAGTGGCGGTCGCATGGCTATGAAAGAACGTAACGGCAGTGCACATACTGTTGTCACATTACCAGCGGTRATCAATGGCAGCAATGGTGACACCAGCAATGTTACACAAAGCACCACACTCTCAAATGATATATTCACCATATCGAAAATCGCAGAAGATATTGAAAAAGAGAAGCCACCAAAGATTATAATAAGGTAGGTATTTTGCTTCAATATTTCAGTAAATTTTCAAAATAATTGATTCTCAATTAAATTTTAATTACAGTGACTCCATTGAATTTTCACATATGCCACAGTYGCAATGAACTTTGTATGAATTTAAGTGATATCGAAAGGAATAATCGCGCGATTGGCTAAATGCACGAAAAATGGGGCAATTTTTACTCGCACATATCTTCATAAATACAATACATACATACCTATGTATGTATGCACCACATATGTGTGCATACAATTAAGTTATTTTGTACCTTCAATATAAAAACATAAGGAAATTTTATTCGAAGCTGTGTGTCGCCTATTAGATCACATAAAGCATTTGAGTATGTGTCTGCATATATTGCGGAGGGTCTCTTTTATATTGCCCGCTGATTATACTTTTGCTCAAACTTAATTATATTGTACGCTAGTTGTGGGTTAAGTAAATTATATACACACCTATCCGTTATGGTTGGATATGCTGAAGATGCCTACTGAGTTATGCTAATTATCTAGTGTTAAGACGTCTGTTTGCATGTGTTTTTGTAGTAGTAGCTGTTTTGCTGGAGTTTGTAGTAGTTTAAGCTTGAACTTAATTTAATTTATTCATAATAAATTTTGGAAAAAATATACAACAAAAAACAAGAATGATATTAAGTTATTTCCAATCAAATTGAAATGAAGTTTATAATTTCGTTTTTTTTTTTAATTTTTTAATTGCATTTATCCTGAGGGCCTGGGTATTACATTTGTACATATAATTACATATGAAGTATGTTGTTAGCATAAATGTAATTCGGCATTTACATGACACAATAATATTATATTGTTTATGAAATGTTTGAAGGCTTTCGAACTACACAGAGGTAGGAATCTTCACRTTACTTACATAATAAGCTTAGAAGCAAAGATTTTTTAACGTTAAACCACTTTTTATACCTAACAACAATAAAATGTTTACTTTCACTTTTAWACCTTATATATGAATTAATAAGATCTAGAAAGCATCACAACCATTAGAAATTCACAGCCGGCGACCTCGGCACCTTCTTTCTCGTTCCATTTATCGATAAATTGACCTTCTTGAATGAAGTATCTTTTTCGCCTCAGCCKTTCTTCCTTTTCAGTGTTTGGCGCCATTGGAGATTCTAAGTAWAGCCAGGTCYGCTTCCTCTTTTTCCCCGGAGGTTACTGCGCCGAATACTCTCGAGCTGGAGCGTTTCGTTCATTCAGATTACATTACGCAGTCAACGTGGCCGCTTKCTCTTAATTTGCTGACCTATGTCAATGTCGTCGTTCGGTATTCGCTGTTGCAAGTGCGCAAAAGTCCATAAATCTTCCGCAGAACCTTTTTCTCGAGAACTCGTAACAGCGACACATCAGATATTTTCATCGTCCGTGCCCTCCACCATATAACAGGATGATTGATGAGTGACTTGTAGATTTAGGTCTTTGTTCTTTCTCTTATTTCTCAATTGCCTCTTCAGTGAGATAGGTAGCACTTGTTGAGAAAGGTTGTTATGAGTTGGATTTCGAGGCTGACGTTATTGTTGGTGTTAATACTGGTTCCAAGATATCTAAAATTATCGCGAATGCGACGACGGTTTATTTGATTACAGTTGATATTTTTTCTTTTTCTCCTTCACAATCAGACAAATACGCTTCCTTATTTAGTCTGGAGAAAKCGGAACTAATGGCGCAATTAATATCAACATCAGATCTCATATAAAGGATTGTATCTGCTCTATTAAGCAGCTCTTTTCAGCTTACATTTTTTTATCCATTAATAAATTGAAGAAATCGCACGATAGGGAGTCTCCTTGCCTTAAACTTCACTTGGTATCGAACAGCTCGGAGATGTTCTTCYCGATCCTGGCGGAGCTTTTGGTGTATATAGTACACGATTGGATATACGTACAAAATAGTATAGATTTGATCAGTCCATCAGTAAACCTGTAGTTTTCAAAAATAAACTTAAAAATATTTTGTAAAATGTAAGTTAAGTTGGGTTAAGTTAGACGGCTGATCCTTCAGTATTGTGGGGGGATCACACTTATACTATTATGTAAAGTCTTATAGAGGATATCAACTATTGGTCCTGATTTAATCACAAATCTGTTAAGATGCTTTATTTAGGATTGATCAAAGGCGGGACATTCATGAAAGAAGTGCTGATATGATTCTATTTCATCTTCTKCTAAGCAGCTTATATAATTGGCTTTGGGTAAATTTTTCCAATAATCCTTAAGTTCCCACAACTATTAAAATGCTTACCTTGCTGAGAATGAAGAGCTCCCACATCTCTTCAAGTTTAGCGGTTGAARGAAGACTGCGCTCCGTGATAGATCTACTGTTGTCTTTATGGTASCCACCTCCACTTGGAAGGCGCTGCAGTGGTGAATACGCTTACGAGAGTGCATTCCTTCACAAACTCTCAACGCAAGCTTGGATCCATCCGTAAAAAAGCTCACCGTTCCTTTCCTCTACCGAATCCTCTCCTCAATTGATCCCTGCAATAAAGTAGTGTACGAACTTTCAAATTTCAATTCCGATTTAAATGAAAAATACAAAATCGAATTTTTCTGAAGTTATTGACACAGATCTTAAATTAATATACTTGAAAACAACCCGATATTAGAAACACCACAGCACTAAAAATTGGAAAAATCACGTGCAAAAAATATTTTGAAAACTATGCGGAAGGAAGGAGAGTTTTTAATAAAATTCAAACTTGGTTCAATCGAGACTTATAGTATAAAAAAGTCCTGTAACCATCAATGAAAAACTCAATTTGCAATTCTAAAGTGATTATTTTACCTTCAGACGCAACGATGTCGCCAAATTTCAGGAAATTAGCTGAGTCTACCACTTATCAAGTTATCTCCGCAATCATCTGAAGAAATTTTGGGAGAATTTACCCAGACCATCTACTGCTGRCTCTTAAAAAAGATTATTAACTGAAACATTGTAAAATAAGTGCTCACAAAAGGTATTTTACTGATGTTACTTATGTTTCGATGTATTAGAAGCAAAATGCAAAAGATCGTTTCAACGGTTCAGAGATAAAGTTTGAAGACGCGGAACTGCAAGCGATGTGAAGGTGATACTTTGATACAATTTCAGCCCGTTTGAAAGCTGTGGGAAAGATACAAAAGTTTAGAGAATAGGTGTCCCTTCAATTGAATTAATTCTAAATGGAGAAAATAATGGGTTGATTCGGTAAGAAGGCAATGCCCTATGTTTGATGGGATCAGGGCGGTGTAGTATATCGTGAGCTTCTAAAAACTAATTCAACTGTTAATATTTATAACTACAGACGACAAATAATCAATTTTAATCATATCTTTATCGAAAAACGAGCAGAATGGCCCAGAAGACACGGGAAAGCAATTTTTTTACACGACAAAGCACCTGTACACAAACCATAATCGGTTCAAGCTACAATCAAGGTATTTAGCTGGAAGCTGCTACTCCACCTGCCGTATTAACCAGACTTGGGTCTTTCCGATTACCATTTGTTTTCATCGATGGGGCGCGTATTGGCTGAGCAGAACTTAAACTCCTACGTAGAATTTACAAATTGGGCGACTGACTGGTTTGCTTGTATCCACAAATTGCAAGAAAGGTGGTAAAAATATTTAAAAAGCGATGGTCAATACTTTGAATATTTTTTTTACTTTCCAATTCAAAACGAGTATTTCATTTTCACAAAAAACTTATTTCAAAAAAACTACTAGAAACTTGTACTATTAAGGGCTACGTACCTACAAAACCATCAATAACTATGTGAAGATCGGCGGAATGACTACTTGCTGCAGGAGAATTTACATATAGATCTTCCGGGCATAGCGCGGTGGGTAATGGCGGTTGAGCAAGCACTGACTAAATGACCCCACTTTTCAACTGGCAAATAAGGATCAAAATAAACATAGAAAAAGATGCAGCAACACTCTAAACATCTATACTGATGGCTCGAAAATGGACGATGGAGTCGGTGCGGGTATATTATGTTCCGAGTTAGACATAAGGCAACCTTTTAAGTTGCCGGACCACTGCAGTGTATTTCAAGCTGAGGCAATTCCAGAGTCAACATCTACGTAGACAGCCAAGMAACAATCAAGGCAGTAACTTCGTATCGCATATCGACCAGAAGTGTCTTGGGAAGCAGGGCGGTAGTGGAAAGTGTTGTCAGAAGTAAGCAACTTCACTTCTACTGAGGGCATTGAAACAGTGGACGCGATTGCCAAGAATAGTGCACGGCTAAAACCAATGCATTGGCTATATGACGATCTCGACAGAAGTATGGTGAAGAAAATCAAAACCCGTTGTAACGAGCTACCTGGGTGCTAAACGGCAAAAGTCATGTGCAAAAYGGYAGATCGTRAGTACACAAAATTCCTATTGTCACYCGATAGAAGAGACTGTAGGAAYATAATGGRAKGGTCCCTGTCTGGTGGCGCCACACGCCCGCAAGATGTGGCTGACAGRTCGAAAAAACTGTAGGAAATGTCTAGAGCAGGGCACCAGGGAAACAATGRAACATCTCTYKTAAACTTGYTCTGCATTGGCAATACTGCTCTATAACCATCTAAGCATYCCCACAGTATGATACACTGGAGAAGGTATCGRCAGTGAGGCYGCAGAGTCTGTTAAAATTCGCGWCAASCGCAGACATCCTAAATGACGACTACTCCTCTTGGACTTGGCAAATAAACTCCATCTTGTATTGCAAAGGACAAAACTAGCTTATGCGTTGCTTACTGGATGTCCAGAATAACCTAACCTAACCTAAAGATCATAAAGGTATGACCGATATTAAAAATACTTTGAAGAGAAGTTGGCATTTGAATTTATTTAAACGGAAAGAATCTGGACGTATTGTCATTCTGAAATATTTTCAAAARCTGCAACCACAAATGCCAAGATTCAAACAAATTTGCAGTAAGTGAGTGACTTCCACGTTCTGTTATSAGCATAATAGAAAGCGAAATAATTTGGTACGAATCGAAGCTACAATTTTAAAGCAAATCCAAATGTGAATAGTGGCGCTTGAAAGTGATACAAACATACCATAAATATTTCGAAGTGCATGCCATTTGTGCTGCCATCCAATAGCGCATGCAACAAAATCAAAAGCAGTCGCAAGCAGCAAAACACTTCTACGTGGGCGTTATACCACGAGTATTACTAGCAGCAACTCACTTTCCGCTGGTTTTGTATTGCCGTTGCTGCCGGTGCCACTGCTGTTGAGGTGATCGTGTTGCTTGCCGCCACTCAYAGCACCAGCAACAACGAGCAAGCGATACGTTTCGCTCGATTTATATTACCCAACGATGCGGCGTTGCGAACAAGCGAGCGATACCGAGCACTCACTTAGCCACTCAGCTGGTAATCCCATGAGTAGGCAAGTCAGAGCACACAAGCGTACGAACGCACAATATTTTTACGTTTGTATATTTAGCGTAGGCAAGAGCATGCTTATTGGCCTGGCTAACTTCTCTTGGCGCTGATCGTACAGCAGCAAAATCAAGAACTTTGTTGCCTCTTAGCGATCTTCAGCTCAAGCAGTCTACGTTGATACGTTGACCGCAACGGTTTGTCTTTACGCTTACTACGAGTACGAGTACGAGATTACGAGTAAATCTRAAAGGAATTAGTTCTTAGTGGAGTTCTTAACGAGTGATCGCGTGTTGCCTACATACATGTGTATGTGTGTGTTCAAGGTGAAGGACCAATCAAAATAAAGGAAAGTGCGAATGTCATAAAAATCGCTTTGAAGTGTTGATTGTTTCGATTTCGGAGAAAAGTGTCTATCCGGTGAAAAGGTGGCGCTCATTGCAGATCGGTTGAAAGATATAAAATTGSCATTAGAGAAAACGTTAATGTGTTCACAGTGAAGATTTATTGTTGAAAAAATAAAGATTTATTTGAAGCACATCAATAATTGTGGAGTATTCTCACTAAAATCTGTAAAGGGTGAGGAAGCTTTAAGTAATATTATAGCTAAGAAATATTTTTAATAGCACACGGTGAACAGTGAAGTGAGTGTGTCACCCTAAATTTACACTGGTAGAAGTTGGAGGTCCTCTTTATATGATACTAGTCTGTGAGGGTCTTGGGCTATAGATTCCAATGTTCCTTGATATATAAATCTCAATGTATGTAGACTGGAAGAAATCGAAGGTATCCATACATGCAACCGGTCTGAGGGAGTTTTGAACTAAAGACTAAAATACTCCTTGATATATAAATCTCAATATAGCCTAGAAGAAGTCGGAGATCGCCTTTATATGAAACTGGTCTTTAAGAGTTTTGGACTATGGACTTAAATGCGCCTTGGCACATAAATTCCAATCCACTGTATGCTTAGTGGAAWTCTAGAAGTCAGTTCACTTCCTATGCGATTTTATAGCTTTTTCTTGACTAGTCTTTAGCGGCACTTCTTAACTGATTGACTAACTCTACACCTATAAAAGATAATCTATTAATAATAAAAGGGTTTCTACCGTCCAAAACTGTTGTTTCCTTTTCACTGGCGGCCCACTGGGAAGAGACGGTTCGCCTTCTCAATTGTGCTCACTTTCAAACGAATGTTCTTGGTCTAAGACTAGAAGTCGTGATCTGCTTCTGTCATATGTAAAGTAATCGTTGCTGGCCACTCCCAAGTGAATGACAATTTTTTGTTTTCTTTCCTCACTTGCGTTCACTTCTAAGCATGGCTCCGTCCTCCCATTAAGAACTTAATATACCCTTTTGAGAACATACACATACAAAAAAAATAGAAGAATCCTAAAGGTAAGAAAATCTATCACTTCTTACCTTTAGGATTCTTCTATTTTTTTGTATGTGTATGTACTCAAAAGGGTATATTAAGTTTGCCACCTTTTCAACCACGAAAAGACCCGGTATAGCAGTGTGACGACTTACATGGAATACGGAAACTAAATCCTTTGTTTTAGAGATACCGAACTGAAATTTTGCTCTTCGAAGAATCCTTCATTTGTTGGAACCGGCCGATATCGGACTTTATTATAGCATGTAGCCCCCCATACAAACTGGCTGTTGAAAATCAAAGCATTGTATGGAGAATATTTTTATYTGATATRATTTCTTCACGAAAYTTTGMATAGATATTATTCAARACAAGGTAWTACTATCTAAATATATTRTTAGATTGGACCACTCTAGCCTATAGCTGCCATACAAACTAACGTAACAAATCAAGTTCTTATTTGAAAAAAATAAAATTATTTGAAAAGTYATCTTCACAAAATTTAACATGGATTTCTCTTAAAAAAATCTGCAGAAAAATTTAGAATTTATAAGAAAAGAGAAGCGAAGGGAAGGAAACACGGTTATACCAATTCGGCTGTAACCGCGTAAGCATTGTCTAAGCCAAAAAGAAGAAGACCAATTTGATCATTTCGGTGTTACCTTCTAAAACGCATAAAACGTTTATACACTAATTCAAATTAACATGAATCTAATGAACATATCATTTTCGATTTTAKCATTCACTATATTTCTTTAATTTACTTTAATCTACTTTTAATAAGGAATTGAAAATTCTTTTGTAGCAATAATTTGCTGTCAACAAATGTATGCAAATTGTAAACAAGTGTAATATATTTTTTAAAAATTTATGTGCCTTAGCGGTAATTGTATGCTAATTCATTCATATTAAATGTATATGAGCACACTCTTATATCTATGGATTTATACATAACGATGTGTTCGTGGTTGTGCATATATATATATATGCGATCTTCAAAGTTTCAAGCCGCCTTAATTGCGTTCGCAACACATATTTGGTCATTTAGTCATGAATAKAATCAAAATATAATGTAATATTACATGTATTATTACAAAAAGCTTGCTGAATATTCAGAAATGTATAAATAAACTCACAATTAGTTAATACCTTGTACTGGTCGGGTAGTTTGAAATTTGAATATATCTGTAAAAATATTTTTACTTATGAAAAGTATTTTTTTTATCACCTACTAAGCCGTTCTGATTTCTGATTTTGTTAAAAAAAAGTTAAAAATTGTATAACTTAAATACTTAAAATGTAAGCAAAAACTTTTAGTAATCTTAATCATAAATGAAAGTCTTTTAAAATTTGTTTCAAAGTAAATTTTCATTTAAGCTTTTCATTTGCCTCCAAACCCTTTCCAATGACTTTTGAATTATGTTTCGGAACACGAAGTAGACACGACGCTGTGAAATCGACCAACTATTTCKCAAAATCCTAATAATACTTTTGTTTTAATTAAGTCGGCTTCTAAAGACATTTTTTCCGATTAGTTTACAATAACTTGCTTACAATCTTGAAGGAACAATGCTAAAAACTTTTAAAATAAAGTGCTTAAAAGAGAAGCTGAACCTTTATCAAGCCTGTCAAGAGATTAGATTTGCCTCTCAGTACTTCCCTTTTATTAAAAAATGCTCTAAACATATCTTTAATTAAATTATGATTTTGTAGTACCCGCAACCAGTCTCATAAACACTAGTTACGCAACTGTTTCCAATTTGTTTACTCTATTACACCATTCTATACAATATAACATATTTATACATTCATATGTATATCTTCGTGTGGYGCTTTGAATCATATTTCTATGGCAAATGTTGTATACAAACCACATTTTAATCGCTTGTGGGCGCTGAATTAAATAGCTGCTCTCTGCCACAATCAAGTCACTTTAATTAAAACGATTATAAATGCTTATTTGGATAATTTGATATTTTACGAGTAGCTTATGCGCGCATTTTGTGCGAGTTTGCACTCAATTCTAATGTTAAATATCGTGATTAAATTGCTTTGGACTTAATTTTGTTTGTTGGTTTTATGTGTTTTGTTTTGTTGAAAATTAGCTGGCAAAATGGAAGCAAACATACACCTTATTTGTTTATTTATACCAATGTGATTATGTGGCTTATAGATTTTTGTAGATGAATATTGTTGATATGTATACAAATGTGCTAGAAAGTTTCTAACAAAAATTTTAAAAATGTTTTATTTCTGAAATAAATTTCTTCGGCTCAAGATATTACGCATCTTTCCAATGCAAAACTTTGCGACTTATTTACTTGCAGATTCAACAGATATTACATTTTTTTTTGTTCATTTATGTATATCAAATGTAAGGTTAGGTTAGATGGCTGACCGAAGATCGCACGTGGACTACTATATGTAGTCCTTTGAGAGGCCATGGAAAAGAAAAACACCTGTGTTCGAACTATAAATGAACMAAACGCTTGGTAGCCAATACAAATTTGCACAGGCATTTAATTTTCATTTCTGCCAGCTCGGTGCGATGTCTGAGGGCATGCGCTACCAAGAGTTTGAGTCCTTCTTGAAGAAGGAAGTTTTGTGTTGATTCCACCTTATCTTCTTCCATGCAGGATTCCTAGCCTTACTGCGAGACGCCAATAGGGCAATGGCCCGTTAAAAGCCCCAAACTAGAGAGAGGCCAGCCTTACTTAGGGTAAAGAGATCACTAGATTCTTGCGGTAGTTGACCGCAACGGTTTGTCTTTACGCTTACTACGAGTACGAATGCGAGATTACGAGTAAATCGAAAAGGAATTAATTCTTAGTGGCATTCTTAACGAGTGATCGCRTGTTGCCTACATRCATGTGTATGTAYGTGTTCAAGGTGAAGGACCAATCAAAATAAACGAAAGTGCGAATGTCATAAAAATCGCTTTGAAGTGTTGATTGTTTCGATTTCGGAGAAAAGTGTCTATCCGGTGAAAAGTTGGCACTCAYTGCAGATCGGTTGAAAGATATAAAATTGGAATTAGAGAAACGTTTATGTGTTCACATTGAAGATTTATTGTTAAAAAAAAATATATTTGAAGCACATCAATAATTGTGGAGTATTCTCACTAAAATCTGTAAAGGGTGAGGAAGCTTTAAGTAATATTATAGCTAAGAAATAATTTTAAAAGCACACGGTGCACAGTGAAGTGGGTGTCTCACCTTAAATATACACTGGTAGAAGCCGGCGGTCTCCTTACTTAAAACAGATCTGTGGGAGTTTTGGACTTTAGACTAAAATTGTCCTTGATATATAAATCTCAATCCACTGTATGCTTAGTGGAATTCTGGAAATCAGTTCACTTTCTTTGCAATCGCTATAAATCTTGAGTAGCCTTTAACGGTACTTTTTACCATAGCTGTTTGACCAGCTCTAGATCTATAAAAGATAATATATTACTATTAAAGAATTATAGGCTTTTCTAAAAATTTCAGAATTTCATTGTTAATAGTGTATGCTTGTATTCAAGTCTTTCCGTATATTAGAAGGAGCTATAATATGTATTAAGAAAGAATGAACATATAAATCTTTAACTTGTCTGCCACTTTGTGCAATTTTGATGGCCGAATGGTGGAATTGTGGGTACATGAAATAATTACTCTATTTTTAGAGTAGTTTACTACGAACGCCCTTTGGTAAGATCGAACCGCAAAATTTAATTATTTTTGCTGATTTAATTATATGGTTACATATCATTTTGTATTTTTCTACAAGCTTYATATACATATAATATGTATATGTATACATTTATATAAGTTAATGTTGTCCATACAGCATTACATTGAATCAAAATCTGTAACAGATCTTGACCTTGCTCAAAATATACTGCTATTATCAATATTTATGTAGAGTATTTSATTGTTTGGATGATGGCAAAAGTTTTGTAAATTACTTTTTATTACAGCTTTATTTGTTTACATCCGTGCATATACATACATATGTATATGTATGTAATTATTATGAGTGTAGGTACTGAAGGTTGCTCTTTATGTCTACTAATGTGCAGAAGCTACAGATAATTGTAGTTCTTAGATGTTTATATATGAATGTATGTATGTAAATGATAGCTCTTTAATCTAAATGATTTACAAAAAGACAGGAAGTATTTTATTGATACATAAACCTTGATTGATAGATTTGGTGAAACATA